TAATACGGTTAATTTGAAGGCGTTGAATTTGTAAAAATGCATTAGGAAAGTTAAAAAATTTAAGATTCCCAAATATATTAACTTTTAAGGTATGTGAAAATGTTAAAAAATTTTTTTTCTATTTAATGGGTTTAGGCGTATGAAAGGTATAAAATTTCGATTTTAATGGGTTCAGAGGAAATGTTTGGTAGAAAAAAAATCTATTGGCTAGCCTTAGTAGAGGTTTGCATAAGCATCAAAAACATTCTAGTGAGGTTACTAATTTCAGCAGAGTGTAGTGTATAAGTTTATAAACTTTTTTCGATATTTGCTGATCACTTTTCGTAGGATTTGTTTTTATCGCTTTACGGGAAATTTTTAACTCCTTCGGTTAAAAAAAATAATCGGGATCTCTGCACTGTAAAACAGGAAAAACATGTCCAAAACTCTCAATTGATTTTTGGTTCATATATTCTCTCACACTTTTGAGCTTCTCTGAACTAGAGGTGATCCGTTACTGTTACTTTTCTCAGATAAAATAAAATTTGAGTAACAGCAACGTACCAATCCTACTTTGAACTCATTTGCTGAACTGAACTGAATTTTTCTTTTTGCAAGCATGGTTGTTACAAAGGAAGGCTAGCTTATGTTAACGTAACTTCGAATGCTTGCTTCAAACATAACTGAAGTTGGTCAGAATGCCTTCGTATATCAAAGATTTTCTAGTAATTCTAACTTTTTTGCAAAACTCAGGTTCATTTCATAAATTTTCATCTTCTTGAATTCTCTTCTTTTCAGTCACTCTCACTAATCTGCTTTCCCTCCTCGATAAGACGCGCCAACTCTAGTTAATTTTGTTGATCACAAAAAATAGCACATTAAAAAGCGTCAAATATTGGGAAACGCTTGACACTGTTAAACTATTTAGAAAAAGTTATTCGCAAGTGTAGAAACATGTTATATTGTTCGATTCTCTCGTGTATTTTAGTCCTCCATTTTATCCCGTTCAACTACAACAACAACAACAACCATTGCCACCATCGATTGATCGTTCTCATGTAGATCAATCTTTGTTATATCGTTCGACGCCTATTCATCATACATTCGACTGGTTTCCACCTTCTTCATCAAATCATAACCAAAATCAAAATAATAACAATAATGAAATTGTTCGTAGTTTGTCGGTTGATGCCTCAACTCTAATCAGACAAAATCATTCTCAATCTCAATTACAATCTTCATCATCCGTATTGAGTTTAGGTAAGTTCAAATGGAAAGTAGGAAAACGTTTCAAGAATTTCACTTGAAAAAAACGATAGTTTTTACCGTATTTTATGTCGAAATATTCAATGTTTGATTTAACTGATCTAAATCTGATGCATTGAATATAATTCACTGGCTTAATAACTGTTATATCTAAAACGAACTGTCAAATCGTTTTTTTCAATGAAACCTAGTCGATTATAGATTATCGGCTATTTTGACTATGACCATAGCAGTTGCTTATAGGTCTTCAGTGATCCCCAGTTTTGGAAACCAGTTTTTCAGAAACTCTAAAAAGTAACCAAAACCTTTCTTAATGAGGTATGATTGTAGCCCGCAC